GCGGGCAGGAAGTGAAGCTGGCAAAGCACACAGAACAGAAGGGCTTCGTCACGGGGGGGGGGGCTGCCAGCATCTGGGTTGGGTAACTCCTCGTTGGACAGGAGAGCCCCACGCACTGCAGGACCCTTACCATCCATGGCCCCTAGGCCAATAGCTCCCCTCAGTCACTGTGACAATCAAAAAGTACCCTTGTATATTTCCAAATGCCCACTGGGTATGGCACCCCTGATAGAGGACCACCGGACTCGATGTTGAAGGTTCCTCATAAGACGTCACTCGTGAGGAATGTGGATTTTTATCATGAGGCAAAAGAACCACTGAAGGATTTTTAAGCAGAAAAGCAACACAATCAGGTTTTCATTTTATTATGATCACTCTGGCAGCAGTGAGGAAAAAAGGCTGGGGAGGAACCAGATTAGAAATAAAGAGGACAATTACAAAGCAACAACAGGAAACAGCATAGGGGGATGGAGAGAGGGAAGACCTGTCATCTTAGTCATGCTGGACACCTATCAGACATCCACATAGAGCTATCCTTACAGCAACGGGTACACATCTACAAGGAGGGGAAAGAAGGGAGGGAGGGACCTGGGCCAGACATGTATTTCTTTCCCAACATTTGTAAGAAGAACACTTCAATTTAAACACTACCTTCCACCCCTACACTAAGAAAAAACTTACCTGGCTCTCCCAACTGGTAAAGCAAGTGGTCCTACATTTTCACCAGTAGAGAAATCAGAAATAGCAGTTTCTTCAGACTGTAGTTCTTCAGCGTGACTTGCTTCTTCCTTTTCTAAAGGCTTTAAACATGTTTAATTATTTAATGAGGTAAAAGGACACTTAACAGTCAACTCTTTACTACGCTAGAACATAACATACCAATTTCTAAACCCATGAGCACAAATGACTGGGTTACGGCAAGAATCACAGCTACAAACCAGTTTGGTACCAACAGATCTTGCCATCAGAAGCATTTCCACTGTCCTATGAAAAGATATTGATCTAAGTTGCTACTGATAAAGGAAGCACCTGATGCCATTAGAAAAGAAAAAGCTCCATCACGTACAAAACGATGAGCTGAAGACAAAACACCAAGGGAAACCCACGGGAGACTCCCTGATTTTGTCACTCCCCAAAACTGGAAGGTCCACAGCCCTGACTCCTTAAGTCTACTGCTCTTAGGGCTATCAGCTCTCATTTTTGTTTCAACAGTCATGTGTTCAAGCAGTTAAACAGCTGCGCTCTGCCAATAACAACAATTACACAAATTAACATTTCCTGAGCATTACTGTTTACCAGCTACTGTTCTAAGCTTTCTTTTTCTTCTTCATAGAAACCCTGAGATAGATATTATTATTATTTACAGATGGGAAAACCGAGCTAGTGGATGGTTAAGTAACTAGAATAATACAGCTGCTTAGTGGCAAAGCCAACATTTGAATCTAGGAAGTCTGACTTCAAAACTCAAGTCCCTATCCATTAAGCTCTTCGAGTAGTAAACACATAATAGGAATCAGCCCCAGATGTTTCTTCAAGTTTGAATTCCTTCTTCCAGGCCTGGATTTCCAAATAGTTCCTAGAACTGAAGTATCCAAGAAATGTCATTTTTCCTTCCAGTCTACTTTTCAATATCCATCTACCTGAAACTCACGCTTTAAGCTCTACTGATCTTTGCGAAATAAAGGCCATTTTAATTGTTCCCCATCCCAAGATGCCAGGGCCTTGGGGGGCGGGGGAGGGTATAGCTCAAGTGGTAGAGCGCATGCTCAGCATGCACGAGGTCCCGGGTTCAATCCCCAGGACTTCCTCTAAAAATAAACAAATAAACCTAATTACCTCCCCCCTCAACAACAAAAAAATTAAAAACAAAATGCCAGGGCCTCAGTGAGTCCTGGTAACTCCTCACGACTCCAAGCTGCATTCTCACTAGTATCCCGATTTCCACCAATCCCCTCTGCTCATCTTTACCCTCACCTAGATAACTCATCTTCACCTGATCATCTTAATTTCTTCAGCTTTTGCTCTACACTTTCTCTTCTCCCCATAACAGAAGTCTAAATTCTACCACATAATTTGCCTATAATTATTTTCCAAGCATCTGTCCAGCATAGATAAGCATCATTAATATAAAAGACAAATAAAGTCGGTCCCCTCCTCAGACAGGCATTTCCATGTGTATTTGAAACAAAGAACTCCCTGTTCATTCATCACAATGCTTGTCCATACAGAATGCAGGTCCTAAAGCAGACAGAGGTGTTCCTTCTAAAGGAATATCTACCCTCCCCTATTAAATCCTGTTCCTAACTACTTGGGGAACCAATGTACCCAAAGAATGAGTCTTGGCCCCAAGCAACTGTGTAATATGACAGCATTATCAGCACTCAGTAAAAATCAGTTACTGCTCTGCTAAAACAGTTCCCATATTTAAAACACAAAGGTTGAGGGTTATAAATATAAAGTGATGTAAAAAATAAGACGGTCCCTCCTGTTACATTTCACAAGCAAAAATTAAAGTAGAAATTCATGAGTCATAGCTGTTCATGCTGGGCTGTTCAACACAGTAAACTGAGTTTTTCACCCACCCACCAGACACATGTGGCTTCTGAGCACCTGAAATGTGGCCAGATCAAATTGAGATCTGTGTGCAAAATACACACACAGATTTTGAAGATGTAGTATGAAAAAAAGAACTTAAAATATCTCATTAATGATTTTTATACTAATTAAGTAGGGAAATGATAACACTATATATCTTAGATTAAATAAAAAGCACTATTAAACATAATTTCAGACCCAACAATCACACTCTTAGGTATTTACTGTTAAGAAAACTTGTGCTCATAAAAATTTCTGCACAGAAATGATTACAGCAGCTCTATTCATGACCACTGAAGACTGAAAACAACCCAAATGTCCTACAAAGGATGAAAGGGTAAATAAACGCTGGTACACCCATATCACAGAACGCTACTCAGCAATGAAAAGAAATGAACCACTAAAACACATACAACCTGAGTGAATCTCAAAGGCATTATTACACTGAGTGGAAGAAACCAGACTCAAAAGGTTACACTTTTGTATGATTCCGTTCATGACATTCTTAAAAAGACAAAACTACAGTTGGGGAGAAGAGGGCCTGACTTTAAAGGGATAGGACAGGGAGTTTTTTGGGGTGATGGGACCTTTTTGTGTCCTGATTATGGTGGTGATTACCAGATTCTACATATGTGTTAAAATTCATAGAAATGTACAGCAAAAGTAAGAAGTCAATTTTATTGTATGAAAATTAATTACATTTCTTTTTTTTTTAATGAGGCTACTAGGAAAATTTTAATCATGGTTTTTATATATGGTTCACATTATATCTCTATTGGATGGCACTGTACTTATTACTAAAGGAATCAGAACATACTATTACTAATGCATTGATCAGAAAACGTGTACACTTGAGATTATCCCCAAGAAACAAAATGTGGCTATTAAGAATTAACCACTACCACTGTATATAGCACAGGGCACTATATTCAACATCTTGTGGTAAACTGAAATGAAAAAGAACATGAAAATGAATATATGTACGTATATATATGACTGAACTATTATGCTGTACAGCAGAAATTGACACAGCATTGCAAACTGACTAAACATCAATTTAAAAGAAATCACAATTAAGAATTAACCACAAAGCCCAACCAAGCACTACTTACCACTTTTTCCACGATGAACACTCTGTCATTTTCATTTAGAATATCTTTCAAAGGGTTTGGTTGCCCTTTGCTGATCAACTGCACTTGGACATCAACCTATCAAAAGCAGATTAAAGTCAAGCAATGTTATAGAAAAACACATAGGTATGTATAAATAGTTAAATATATAAAGATCAGTTCTATGCAAGTAACTGGAAAAGAGAACCTGAACAAGACATCATGTTTTGCAAGTAAGATTTTCATTTATTCTCTGCCCATGTTTTTCATGTTGAGAAAAAGCTAGCTCTTGTATCTTATCTACATGCCTCAAGGCCCACCTACGGTGCACTCTGTCTTGTCAGCCCTTCTTTTGATTAAGATCTCACTGACATCCTCTTCTCCTAATCATATTGGATTTACTGTTGGGTACCACAAAATTAGCACTTCACTAAATATTATCCCTTTTTCTGACTGTACCACGGAATTTAGAACTTGATCAGTTTATAGGAACTGCATATTTCTTCATTCTGATTGCAAAACACATTTGCTGCAGAAAAGTTTGAAAACAGCTAAAAGAGATTTTTAGAAACACATCTATAATTCTACTAGCCAGAGCAGTCACTACTGCTATTAAGACTTTTTGGTGTATGTTTTGGCTGATCTTTTTCCAGACATACAAATAAATCTATTTAAATAGAAATGTATCTATTATTTCGATAACTCGATAGGATTTTCTTTAATAAAAAATACAATGTTCTAATAATTTCATATCATGACTTCTTTCCATGCCATTAAATGTTCTTAAGCTGTCTAGTATCCTGGCTCTATCATTGTATAATTAATTCCATATTATTCAACACTTGCATAGTTTCAAGTTATGTGCTGTAATAAACAATCGATAATGGACATCCTTGAATTATTTAAGATGAATATCTAAACATCACATTGACATTGTCAAGTTGCCTTTCAAATATGTCATAACCACATATTTGCATCCCCATCACTCATATCAACACACTATCTTCACTGCTTATTTTTACCATCTCAACAAAAGATAGTATCTTGTTATTGTTTTAATTTTCTTTTATTTGATCACTAATGAGGGTGAACAGTCCCTAATATGCTTATTATTGACAAATCTCTCTCATTATTTGAATCTCTTTAACTTCTCAGTTTGGGTATTGAAGTATTTTTTTAACAGAGGTATTAGGGATTAAACCCAGGACCTCGTGCATGCTAAACATGCCCTCTACCATTGACCTATTTTTCTCCCCACTTCAAGCATTTAGATACCAAGTTCAGAGAGCAAAGAAGGCTGTTAATCTAATCTTAGTACCACTGTGGGTTGCATTATGTCCCCCCAAATGATAAGCTGAAGTCCTAACCCCTGGTTCCCCTGAATGTGACTGTATTTGGAAACAAGGTCTTTGTACGCGTAGTAAGTTGAGGATTAACTTGGATCGGGGAAGCGGGTGCTAAACCCAGTGAGTGGTGCACTTCTAAGGAGTAAGAGGTTTAGACACATAGACACCCAGGAAGAATGCCCTGTGCTGACAGAGGCAGGTGTTTCTGGAAGCCAGGAAATAGCAAAGACTGCTGGAAATCAATAGAAGCAAGGAGGAGAAAAGGAAGGATCCTTTCTTAGAGTTTCAGCGGGAGCATGGCCCTGCTGCCACCTTGATCTCAGACTCCTTGTCTCCAGAACGGTGAGAGAATATATTTCCGATGTTTTAGGAAAACCAATTCGTGGTGTTTTGTGATAGCAGCCCTAGGAGACTAGTAAAGGCATCAAGCTGTACTAATTCAGGCAGGGTGGGGCTAATACTTTCCCTGGAGACATCTGATTCCTGAGTTTGGCTAGTGAGAATTCAGATAGACATAACTCTACAGTTGGCCCTTGAACAAGGGTGTGAACTGTGTGGGTCCACTTACACGCAAACTCTTTTCAGCAGTAAACACTATAGTACTACACAATCCACAGTTGGTTGAATCCACGGCTGTAGAACCTTGGGTACGAAGGAAGCACACAAGGGAGAACCAACTGTAAGTTATGTGCAGATTTTTGACTGTGGAGGGTCAGCACCCCTAACCCCCACATTATTCAAGGATCAGCAATATTTGTATTTTTCTTTCGCGATTACTTGTTTGTATCCTTTGCCTATTCTGTTATGACTGTCTTTCTTCTTCATTGATTTTTAACAGCTTTTTATATATTTTATTTTTATGGATATTAGCCCTTATCATATAAGACCATTTCTCCTCAGCTTGTCTTTTAGAATATAATTATTTTAGCGTGCTAATTGTTTTAAGGGATTAAGTTCTATGGGGATCTTACCTACAGAACACTTGGCATATATCAGATGCTTAATAAATCCATGAATGTTTATAGCAGCTTTATTCATAACTATCAAAAATTGGAAACAACCCAGGGGGGAGGGTATGGCTCAGTGGCAGAGCTCATGCTTAGTATGCACGAGGTCCTGGGTTCAAGCCCCAGTACCTTCATTGAAATAAACCTAATTACCTATCCCCTGAAAAATAAAATAAAAATTTTTTTAAAAATTGGAAACAATCCAAGTGTCCATCAACTGGTGAATGGATAACCAAACTGCGGTACATCCATACAATGGAATACTATTCAGCAATAAAAAGGGATGCACTACTCATACACACAACTACATAGCTGAATTTCAAATGCATTATACTCATTGACAGAAGTCAAACCCCAAAGGCTACAAACTATATAGATTCACTTATATGACATTCTGGAAAAGGCGAAACAGAAGACAGAAAACAGATTAGTGGTTGCCAGGGGCTGGGAGCAGGGAAGAAGGGTTGACTATAAAGGGACATCAGATTTTTGGAGGCGATAGAAATGTTCTGGGTTACAGGGGTGGTTATATGACTGAATACATTTGTAAAAACTCAAAGAACTTTACTCAAAAAGGGTGAAATTTACTGTATGTAAATTAACTTCAATAAACTCAGCTGGTAAACACTCACAATTTTCAGATGACTGAGTTGTTAAAAAATCAAATAAACTGTTCGTACCTCATAGATAAATGGGTCTTTACAGATTCCTTTCTTTTCTTCGTTAAATTCCCTGAAATGCAGAAGAACCACAGGTAATAAATAAAGCTACAGTATTCTGTCATTTAAACTCTGGAGTTAGTTATCACTTTCTCTCTGCATGACACCAGAGAGAAGAGCAAAATGCTAAGTATTCATGGCAGCCCTAAAGTATACTTGGGAAGAGAGAAAAAGGCAGCAAAAGAGTACTAGGTTATCAAGGGAAGAGAAAAAATAGATGTGGTAGAGATTAATAGACGGCTGCCCCAAACTGGGTACAATTGCTTCTAAGAGACAGCAGGAAATTTGGCTGCCTGCCTCCTGTATCTTTTAAAACACACTACCAGTTACTATGGAAATGTAATTCACTACATGACTTTTTGGAAGTAAAAATGACTGGATTCTGATCTGCCACCGAATCAGTGTGTAACCACAGAGAGGTTTTTTAAGGGTCCCAGGCCTTAGATTTCCACAGCTGAAATGGAAGCATTGATCCTGTTTTCATAAGCTGTTGCCAAAAAAATCAGTAAATTTAATAATGTTATACAATTTCCTGTCTCAAATGTAAGCACAAAACTCTAAGATACTCAATAATTATCATTTTATTCAAGAAAGCTGATCCCAAAGCATGTAAACTATAAACTATTCACATACCAAAATGCACATCAGCCTGATCTCTGAAGGAGAAAACTTAAGAGTCCTAAAGGAACCCAACGGAACAGTTTCAGGAAACCATATATTATTTCATCTACTCTATGACTCACTGAAATAAAAGCTAGGGCTGAGACTGATTCACTTTAGCCATTTTGGACAAGATTATGATTTATTCTTATAGATGTTTATCTTTTGTAGACGCATAACTGAGGGATGTTATTCAATCAATCATTCAACAGTCATTTCTCGGGTATGTATACTATAGGCAGACACTCTGGACAAAAAAATGGTGCCTGTCATTCTGGTAAACAACGGAGTGTTGCCCGCCATCAAGCCATCAGCCACTGCAGCCGCCCAGTGCACCCTGAGGGGAATTCAGGAGGAAGAAAAACAGGACACTGGCCCTAGACAGTTCAGGTGCTTATCAAAAAAGTAAGTTCAATGAGCCCAGACTCTTACATCTTCCCATCAACAGAAAAGCACTAAAATCATTAACCTGAGACGTCTGTTTTTGTGATTAGCAGTACACCTTTGATGTTCAACTACACAGGTTTTTGGTGGGTTTTTCAAATTTTTGTTTGTTTTCAGCAAAAACTCTTATATATATATCCTGGCTCCTCCTTTACCTCTTTGGAACAGTTCCTCACAGCTATCTGAGAGGCCAATTCCCAGGCTTTGGTCCTCACTAAGGTCCCTAAATAATATAACTCAACTTTTCAGTGTATTTCTTTCTTCAGTCGGCAGTTCTTCCTAGATGTCCAAGATAGGAAACAAATGCATGGTTCCTGGTTCATAGTCTTGACTCAGTCCAACTAGCAATCCAATGGTTACAAAATCGAGTGATGAATGCCCCAACAGAGGCGAGTGGAGGTGCTGCGGTGGCGCAAAGGAAGAGATTTTGCTATAGGATTTGAACTTTATCCTATAAGCCAAGAGGAGCTCACTACAAGATTTTAAATGGGAAAGATCTCTCTGACCTTCTGATGTGGAGGCAAGAAACTCAGAGGCCAGGAAGATAGCTGTGAATAACTTGTAGCACTTCAAAGAAGTGATGGTGGTGAACAAAACGGGAGGGAGGGAGGGAGAACAAGGGCACCTGGGGACTGGCTAGATCTGGTGGGGGTGGGGACGATGGAAAAAAGAAGTCACAGTCTTGGACTTGAAACTAACTCAGAGGCAGAATTCAGGAAAATGTCAGGCTTCAAGGAAAAGATGAATTCGGTTTTCCACATACTGACTTTGAGGTCTTATTTGCAAATTCCCAATAGGCAGGTGGCTACACAGGCATTGTGAGGGATTCAAGAGAAGAGACTTTTGGTGCTTACAAGTGGAGAGAAAGACTAACACCTATAAAACAATTGGGAAATATAAAAGGTCTAAATAAAGTTGTATCAACAAGGGACTGGTTAAATAAACACAAAATAGCCATACAATGAAATATTATATAGCAGTTAAAACCAATGACAGATCTATAGGCTGTCATACTGAAAGCTGTCCAAGACACTGTTAGTTTAAAAAAGCTTGTGCTCTTTCTATAATGTTGGAAAAAAAATTGACAAGCATAACCACATTTGTAAGCAGGAAAAGAAAGCAATAAAAATAAACAATGAAACAGTATGGCATTTAGAAAATAAGGGGTTAGATTACAGCAATGGTTATCAAGCTGTGCTGTCAGGCCAGCATCATTTGTTTCACCTGGAATTTGTCAGAAAGGCAAATTCTCTGGCCCCACCCAGACCTACTAAATAAGAAACCCTGAAGTGGGACCTGCAATCTGTGTTTTGGTAATCTGCCAGGTGATTCTGACGCACGCTCAAATTTGAGAACTACTGGATTAGATTTTTACGGTGAATGCAGAACTGGGTGGAATCCCCTTTGGTACTAGTACTTCACTATAGGAACAAAATAAAATGAAACAAAAGTGGCTTAAAGAGCCAACACACCAACACGTTATCATCATAACTGTTGCTCATGTGATAACTATCTTGAATAGACTGTAACAATACGAATCACACCAGGACGGCTTTCAAAAGGTGAAGCATGTCAACATCTAGTTTTCTCCATCCTGGGAGGTGCCTCTAACATATCACAAGTTGAGCGTATTATCTGAGTGAATAACGCGCCCCTTGGAAAACTTGTCACCTTTCACCTCGAGTGACAGCGTACGTCTGTTTTCTCCTAAACGGGATTACAAGCAAGCCCCACAGGGCCAGTTCCACCGTGGAGCAGGTACCCAGTCTACCCCCAGCTCCCAGACACCAAGAAAACTGACTTAGTCTACAACAGAACGCGCTGTTAGAAACTGACAAAATGCGAATCCCCAAGGCTGCAACAAGAGGCTCGGGGCGGGGATTGAGATACCCCAAGGGAGAAGTGGTGTCCTAACACCAAGCCCAAAGCAGAGGCTAAAACTCACTGCAGGAGACGAGCGTAGAACTCCTCAGCAGCTCGGTTCATTCGCGGCCACATCACGCCCTTGGTTAGTTTAACTGTAGACCCGAAACCGCCAAACTGAACTGCGCGCCGGATGCTGACGTCCGGGGTCATAACCCCCCGCCAGGACTACTTTTACCCCCAAAAGGCCTCGTTTGTCGAAAAAGTTAAATTTTTGCTCTAGCGCACACAACGGCCTTTCCTGTCCCAATAGTTTTCCACTCCTGTGTGAAAAAGTTAAAATAAGTTGTACTGGTTGAGGGGACAGAAACTTCGTCTCGCGAGAGTTGGCCACGCCCCCTTATGGATTACTCCGCGAAAAGGAGTCCCTCGTCTCTAAGAGCTCTTTATGGCTTTGAAACTCAATAGATACAGTAGTTTGACGCATATAAGGAGATACTACGCTATTTTTTATTTTTGTGTAGAGGTAGAGAGATATTGTGTCTCTCTGGATTGGTTCGGAGGCGGAGCAGGGTGGGAGACGAGTTGAAGGTTACATATACAGTGGGAGTGCTACGCACTTCCTTTTCCTGTGGGAGCCGCCGGGTTGAGAGGAGCGTGGCTCTCTCCTCTCCCCGCCATGGTGAGTGGAAGTCTTTTCCGCTTGGCTTTCCTGTGCTATCGGGGCTCGGCAGGAATGGGCTTCGGGGTTCGGGGCAAAGGATCTTTAGGAGAGGAAGCGGGAAAAACGAGATGGGGACCCGAGGCGTCTGTTTGTGGCTGGGGCCTGGGTAGTGCGGCTCTATGGCAGCCATCTTAGACGCAACGTGTGCGAGCCGGCGCTGGGTGCGCCTGGAAGCCACCCCGGAGGACCCTCAGGTCGTTCTCGGGCGCAGAGAGACCTTTGGAATTCTAGTTTCTCTTGCATCTTAGAAGGCATGGGTTCCACTGAAGACTTGGAAATTATCGGGGCTAAGACTGAATCTGGGTGAAAGAGTCAATTTGGGGCCTTATGTCTTCGTGCCCTGTTTAGTAAGGAGTATTTTCACCTTAAATAGGTATCATCAAAGAAAAAAATTGTATTTTCTTTTTGTTCCTAATTACTGTATGTTCAGTTTAAGAATTGTTTCTGAAGACATTCTAGTTTTCTTGCCTTAAAAACCAGTTGTTGTATATGTACTGCATTTCCACACATAACATCTGTATGTGTGCCGTGTTCCCTGGGGAGTTCAGTGAACAAAATAGGCAAAAAACACTCTTTATGATGCTTGGGTGGTACCTTAGTTGGACAAAACAGATGAACTGTTCAGTGGTGGTTAAGTGCTGTCGACTTAGGGAATTGGAGAGGAGGCAGTAATTGGGCTTCGAACAGAGTAATCAAGAGAAACCTTAAGGTGGCCTGAAGGAGGTGAGGAAGAGTATCAGGTAGACGACTTGTTACCTTAGGGGTAGGAGGGGGCTGGCCCTGAGTGTATGTCTGAATATCTGCAAGAAAGTATGGGAGGTGAGATTAAGCAGGTGGTGTAGTCATCCTCTGGGCCTTAGTTTACTTTCAGGTAAGTCTTTGGAGAAGATTGAGCAAAATCTAACATGGCTGGTGTTTTTACTAGTTAGTTTTGGAAGGTGTGTTTGGAATGGGATGAAGAGGGCAAGGATGAATGTTTGGAGGAGTAGAGCAGTGGTAGATAAAGATTTGCTGACATTTGGGATGAAAGTTTGGAATGTGGCATTGAACGGCGTTTTCAAACTGTACAGTATGGTTTTGGTCGTTTTGCTTTGTAAGACTTGATTTGAAAGTTTAATGATGAAGCATTCTCTTTGATACTAATAAAAATTAATGTGACAGAACTTGAGAATTTTAAGTGTCCTTCAAGTATTGTCATTAAGTGTTGGTAACTTAGCCTTTGTCTTTCATGAAAGTGTTATCTACTTCACCAAACTATGTAACAATGTTTAACGCTTTTGTTGGTGCATGAGAAGCATGCCTTTACATTGCTTGTAAACAAACATTTCTTCCTTTTACCCAGGCGTGTGCTCGCCCACTGATATCAGTGTACTCTGAAAAGGGGGAGTCATCTGGCAAAAATGTCACTTTGCCTGCCGTGTTCAAGGCTCCCATTCGACCAGATATTGTGAACTTTGTTCACACCAACTTGCGCAAAAACAACAGACAGCCCTATGCTGTCAGTGAATTAGCAGGTATGGATTAAGATCTTTCATGGGTTGATGTTTTAAGAGCTGCTTCACAGCGGTGATGAAATTCCACTCCATTGGTCCGTGTTTCTGAACCACATGATTTTCCTGGATGTTCTGATGCTGTTTGCTACCATGCATCATCGTCGTAGAAGAGTATGATTGGGTAGCTAAAGCTTGTGTGTTTCTTGCCAATTTCAGGTCATCAAACCAGTGCTGAGTCTTGGGGTACTGGCAGAGCTGTAGCTCGAATCCCCAGGGTTCGAGGTGGTGGGACTCACCGCTCTGGCCAGGGTGCTTTTGGAAATGTATCCTTTGAATGCTGTGTTAAGGTTAAATACTGCTCCAGACAGATTAGAAATCAGGAAGATTTTTCTGTCAAATTAAATACAACAGTTTCTACATTAGGTTTTGCTTGCAATGATGTCGTAATTTGCGTCTTACTCTGTTCTCAGCGACAGTTGCCTGCTGTCAGTAAGCTGGTTCAGAAGACTGACGAACATTCTTACTGAGCAAGACATAACCTGTTTTTAATTCTTAAAATTTGAGAAATGTGATTCTTGACTGGGAAAATAGATGTGTCGTGGGGGGCGCATGTTTGCACCAACCAAGACTTGGCGACGTTGGCACCGGAGAGTCAACACAACGCAGAAGCGATATGCCATCTGCTCTGCACTGGCTGCCTCGGCCTTACCAGCGCTGGTCATGTCTAAAGGTTTGTGATATTTTATATTCTAGGAGTCATATAAAATACCCCTTTTTTCCCTTCACCTGAACTTTTTTGTTGGTGGTAATAGCCTGTGTGAAATCTCTTCATCCCAGGGTGCCTAGCTGGATTTCCCTCAGCTAAGTTATGACAACTTCAGTTTAACAAGTCATTAGTGAATACTGTGGAACTGGGGAACTAATTCAAAATAGTGATTTGGTGTATTAGAAAACTTCCCTTTTTGTCATATTGCCTACTCTTTAACAGTCAAAATGATGAGATTCCACTTAATTGGTCCGTGTTTCTGAAACGCATGATATTTGTGGAAATTCTGATTTGTTAAATTGTGTACTGTTTTGCTTTTGTGGGTTAGATTCAATTTTTTAAGGGGTTCAGGGTAACCAGGTCAGTGTTAATTGACTTTGTCAGGTCATCGTATTGAGGAAGTTCCTGAACTTCCCTTGGTGGTTGAAGATAAAGTTGAAAGCTACAAGAAGACCAAGGAGGCTGTTTTACTTCTGAAGAAACTTAAGGCATGGAATGATATCAAAAAGGTGGGTTTTGTGGTCCTTCCAAAAGATTACTGGAGGGATAGTGTGACTGAACCTTGGTGGATATGAGAGCAAGGACTCGACCATGTTACCTGTGTTTGAATCCTGACTGCCGTTCATCGCTGTGTGTTAGTGTTAGGCAAGTCATTTGTGCCTCCAGATTTCATCGTCTGTAGAATGAAGTTTTTTTTTAATATGAAGATCTATTTTAGAGATCATATCTCAATCAAGGTACCAAACCTTACTTTGTCAGGTCTATGCCTCTCAGCGAATGAGAGCGGGCAAAGGCAAAATGAGAAACCGGCGCCGTATCCAGCGCAGGGGACCCTGCATCATCTACAATGAGGACAATGGTATCATCAAGGCCTTCAGAAACATCCCTGGTAATTCTTGCACCTCTTATATGTTTCTTAATGACCCATGCTATCTATGCAAGCTTACTCAGCTCTTACTATGATGAGATTCCACTTTATGGTCCGTGTTTCTGAAACACATGATTTTTGTGGAACTTCTGATTCTTGGCTGAATGAGTGCACCGTTAATGGTTGAAATTCATGCTTAAAATACCTCTCAGGTGCCTTGTATAACACGTAAGCCGTAAAGATGATTTGTGTTTCTTCTGTTGAAATACAGCCTTCCTAATTCTCCTTTTCCCTTTAAAAGGAATTACTCTGCTTAATGTAAGCAAGCTGAACATTTTGAAACTTGCTCCTGGTGGGCATGTGGGGCGTTTCTGCATTTGGACTGAAAGTGCCTTCCGCAAGTTAGATGAGCTGTATGGCACGTGGCGTAAAGCTGCCTCCCTGAAGAGTAACTACAAGTGAGTGTAGATCATGACCACAAGTGTTTATGCTGTGGATGCTGTTCACAGTTGGCTTGTATGTTTTCTAAATACTGTCGTTTCCCCCTTGTGTGCAGATGCAATGTGCCTAAATGATGAGAGACTCTGAGAAGTGATAGTAGAGTGGGAATTCTGGCTGAATTCTGAAGGGCTTCATCTTTGAGGTTCATGTTCTTTAATCAGTTAATGAGAAATAGAAATTGAGCCTCTGTTGTCAACATTTTTTTTCTTTTAGCCTCCCCATGCACAAGATGCTCAATACAGACCTTAGCAGAATCTTGAAAAGCCCAGAGATCCAAAGAGCCCTCCGAGCACCACGGTAAAGTTGTGATACCTACAGTAATTCTCTTCCACAGCCTCATGTTATTTGGTTATTTCACGAATGTGGGTAATTGTAAATAAACTGTTAATATATCTACCTTTGTACAGCAAGAAGATTCATCGCAGAGTCCTGAAGAAGAATCCACTGAAAAACCTGAGAATCATGTTGAAGCTAAACCCATATGCAAAGACCATGCGACGGAACACCATTCTTCGCCAGGCTAAGAATGTAAGCTATAATTTGGGTTTTCCTGTAATGTTGAGTTGTTTTTTTTTTTTTTAAGAAAGATTTGACTCTTACATCTTCCTAATCTGTTGCAGCACAAGATCCGAATGGATAAAGCAGCAGCAGCACTACAAGCCAAATCAGACGAGAAGGGGGTTCCAGGCAAGAAGCCTGTGGTGGGAAAGAAAGGAAAGAAGGTTGTTGGTGTTAAAAAGCAGAAGAAGCCTGTGGTGGGAAAAAAGGCTGCAGCGACCAAGAAGCCAGCAGCTGACAAGAAGCCTGCGGCTGACAAAAAGCCAGCAGCTGACAAAAAGCCAGCAGCTGACAAGAAGCCTGCAGCTGACAAGAAGCCAGCAGCTGATAAGAAGCCTACAGAAAAGAAGCCCACCACAGAAGAAAAGAAGGCTGTTGCATAAACTTAAATTTGTTTATTCCGTGGAGGTCAAATTATTTTGGACAGCTAAGTTTGAATAAAGTTCTGATCAAAGTGGTAGTGAGAAACATGACTTGGATGTGTTGTGTAAATCTTGGTTAGAATTTTTTCACTGGCATTTTAATTCAAGCCTTTTAGTTACATTTTATAGTCTAGTGTAAAGTGGAGCACTGGATATATACTAAGTGCGTGAAGTTTAATGAGGGATGCTCCATAAATTGGGAGCTATAAAATCCATTTTGTAAGTAACAAAATGTTCCTTGAGAAACGGATGGTTAGAAGACTTGTTAAAGAAATAGAGAAGCTCTTAGGATTTAGCCTTCTCTCCCCAAAGTGGAAAAAAAAATTGTCAAATCTGTATGGAATTTCATCCATTTTCCATTCAGTAATCACAAAGGGCAGAATCAAAATACATGTTTTTTTAAGTACAGCAGTAAGAGAGAGTTCTCTCAGAAATGTTAACAACCTTATGTGATAGAATACAATTGATGGAGGAAATAAATGCTTGCTCCACCCCCTTTAATACCTGGAACCTTGGTGTGAAAAGTGCCGTGTTTTTCCACAATCATTTGTGTTTCAGTAGGGGCTGAATATGTTGGCCAAGCATGCTTGTGCAGACAATGTATCCAAACGTTTTTACCCAAATCTGCCATCAAGCTTTATTACCTTAGAGGTGACCTGTTCTTCCCTACTTCTGGTCTCGTGTCAGGGTCTTGTTCTTGCATCTGGTTTGTTTACCATTTGGCAGTCTCGTTAAAATCCACAGCTGGGGTGATCTATCCTCAAATTTGCAGGTCAAGAGAAAGTTCCTTAGCATAAAGCACCGTTCCCTTAATCTTCCTGCTCTAATTCGCTGCAGCCTCCTGGGAAACCCTGCCTGCATAACGGCACAGGAGGGCTCTTGGACCGCTGTACCAGACACTGATGTTAGTCTGGCCTTCAAGTGCGTCTGCAGCTTTCGTGGGGCTAAAATAGCCAAATCTGCAGCGCCACTGGAAGAAACGCGTTGAACGGCGAGCACTTGACACTTAACAGCTAGCTGGCCGTTGTTCTCTCCAGGCCTTTTACAGCCCCAACGCCCTTCGCTCTAGGAATCCTCACCGAGTTTAGCTTTTTGCTTAACACCCCGTTTGCCCGTTGCAGCGAGCAGCGACGATCACCGACGCCAGCCGGAAGCGCCCGCCCTGCTCGCTCTTCCGTTTCCGGTGGCGCGGAGGCCGTGGCGTCATCGCCGAGCGCCCGGCCGGCGGCCCGCGTGAGGAGGAGAGATGCTGAGCCGGCTTCAGGAACTGCGCAAGGAGGAGGAGACGCTGCTCCGCCTGAAGGCGGCTCTGCACGACCAGCTGAACCGGCTCAAGGTGACCCCGCGGCCCCCCGCCCCTCCATTCCGCCGTCCGCCTGCTGCCGGGTAGCCCTTCCTCACCTCGTCCTGTCGGCCCGACATGGTGGCCGACAGCACTTGGGGGGCTGGTTTTGAGATTGTGGGTCCACCCCTCAGAGAATCTTGATCCTGCAGGTCTAGGCTAAGGCCCAGCAATCTGAGTTTGGCGAGTACACCACCCCAGGCCCCGGACCCCTACAGCCCCGTAAACACAGGCGGCCCGCACCACACGCTGAGAAGGGCGACCTCCCGAAGGCTCGCCTGGACCTTTCCTGCCCGCCGTCCTCGCCTCCCGAGCCCCTGCAGCATCTCCTAGCTTCTCTTACTAGCTAGTACCGGCGCTGGAAGCGGCTCTGGTCTCGCACAGCCGGCTGACTCGCGGGTCCCCCTACTGTGCGAAGACAGACTGCGAGGCCCTGGGAGAAGAGACCTGTCACGGAGTAGTTCGCGGTAGCTTTTCTTCCCGGGTCTGTTACCAACTCCACGGCCCTGACAAGGAGTCAAGATTAAAACCCACCAGGGCCATTTCTTAGACCTGTGAGGAAGTCACCCTCTTTAGCGCCAGTGAGGTGCTCCTGAGAATCCCTGCTCTTCACCCTTCAGGATCTTTAAATTCAAGTGAGATGAGGGTTATGAAAGCCCTTCGTAAACTGAGAAGCATTGTCCAACTGCGACATGTCAAGATAGTTCACTCTCCCTCAGGACGCATGTTGCGGCTTGTGCTTCATGTTATGTCACCACAGCACGTGTACAGCTGCCTGCGTGTTGATGACAACGCCGCCAAAGCCGAGATTCCTTTATGCTCCAGGAAACTTCCATTTTCCATTCTTCCTACCTTCACTCGCTCATTACTGGGTAGACAGGCTCGGGCCTGTGGAATCAGAAGGCCCCTGGCTTTAGGGCAGGCTTCTGTCTCCCCTGAGTGGCTTGCTCTGGTGGAGTGAAAGCCTTGGCTCAGCTGAAACAGCTGTTCACCCTGGAAGAAAAGGGCTGGAGGCTTTCTGTGCTCTTTCCTTAAGAGGCAGGGGGAGTTTAAGGAGCCTCCCCACTTTCCTCTAGCGCTTTACATAGATTAGATTACACTGTTTTCAGTTCCTCTCATGCTGCCGACCTCTTACAGCGTGCTCTGTGAATTTTACCTCCATCAGTAGCCTAGTGACAGTAAGGAAGGTGTCCTCAACTCTTCTTTTCTAGGTTGAAGAACTGGCCCTCCAGTCAATGATTAGTTCTAGAAGAGGGGATGAGATGCTGACTTCTCAGGCTGCACCTGAACAGTCACATGATGTAAGCTTAATCAAGGGTGGGACCCGAGGGAGATGGCAAAGTCCGCTCTGCTTTAGACTTCTTGGAGGTCAAAAGTTGTAAATTACATTGTCAAGCCCAAAGGACTCTGGGAAGTGCTGATAAGAACTTTCTAGTTTAATAAACTGGCTGGTCTGTATGACTGTTTTAAACAGGGAACAGCCCACCTACCTACCAGTGGGCTACACTTTGGCTGATTTTCCTGTTATATTGCCAACACCTTCCTAGTCATCTATTCTCTCCAGTCACTCCAGTGAACCTGGGGAGAGTGTGGAGATCTTTGTAGGAACATGTCAGAACTCTTGCTGCTCTGAGAATAAGTAAGCTTAGGATTCGAAAATAGAGTGTAGCTTCAACTCCAAAGCCCAGTGCTAAAAAATGAGTTCTTGTCATCATCATGTCCTTGCCTCACCAGATGCCCCCAGGTCAGTCAGTAAAACCATCTCTCTAAATATACCACATTTGATTAGTTCTCTCAGATGTGTTAAGCATTTTTAACTATTTGAGAGCAGCACACCATAGCCAGCATAATTTTTATGTAAGAACCATGTTTGTAAGTCAAGTAACATTCTATCAAATCTCTGGCATTTATTCTGCTCCCATTTTGGCAGTGGGGGTCAGAGTAGAATTTGGAGAAATAGGAAGAGTGGCCACACATGCTAGTGGTAAATATTGGCAATGAATATGCAATTGAGATTTTATTTTGAAACATTAAGAACTTGTTTTGAGGCCAGTGTTCTTGCTACTAAAACATAGTGTCCTTGACCAAAGCAGATGCTGGTGCATGTAGACAACGAAGCATCCATCAACCAAACTGCACTGGAGTTGAGCACAAGGAGCCATGTGCCGCAAGAAGAAGAGGAAGAGGAGGAGGAATCAGATTCCTGAAGGGGCGAAGAGCCGGGGTTAGTCAAACAAATTAAGCTCTAAGTCTCAGGAACTTTCTCTTAGTTTTTGCCATGGGCCCTGTGGCCTGCTTTAAACGGAAGCAGGAACTTCAGTAGGATGTGGATTTGTAAGAATGGTTCCATCAGTAATTCAAGTTTCAGAAGGCTTTAACAAAACTTAGGGACATGCAGAAAAGCAGAGACGCAGTGTCTCAGTATTGAGCAGTATGTGTGCTGCTGTGTTTATGTTCTGGTCAGATTCAGTAACTGTGTTCAAAACAAAACATTTCCTCTGAAATGCTACTGAGAAAGTCTGGCATTTGCAAAAAGGGCAGAGTTTAAAGACGGCCGTCCTTTCCCATCAACAATGCCTCTTTTAAGAAAACCAATTAAAGGCTGTTTGCCTGCCATTGAACCCTTGTGAGCAGAGCAAGGCCACAGTCTGGGAGAGAAAGAGGACAAAGAGGAGGACAGAGAGCCACTTGAGAGCACAAGCTGTTGCCACCTCCCAGTGACATCGCAAAACACTGGCTGCTAACATGCTTTGTGTGGCCATCATCACAGCTAGGTTGAGACATCACTGGTAAAACGTGCTTAGAAATAAATCCTAGATAAACAGCCACCTTGCAGCTTGCTGCTTTCCAGACAGCAAGAGAGACGAGGCTTAGTTCCTCCCCTGGGTGAACAGCACAGCAGGATGCTTTAAACCCTACTGCTGGACTCAGCAAATGTGCCATTGAAGCAGGAACACTAGGCTTGGGAGACTGGGTTTTTATAATAAAGAGATGACAGTTACAGAATAAGAGTTGTTAAACATCGTATTTGAAAAAGGTTTATTTCTGCATACTGTCCCTTTCCCACTAAGTGTACAGTTAAGTAGTTGCTTGGTTTTGTAAAATATGCCCTGGCCAAGCAACAGAAAAGCCAAACAAAACACAGACAAACTCCTCAAGCAGGACTCTTTACCTAACTGCCCCAGAAGAGCGCTTGGACATACCCGTCAGTCAACATTTCATTAATGTTATTTTGAGCTACTTACAGGAAATAGCCAGAAGTTTAAATGAGCGTGTTTCTTGGAAAACACCAATGTGAACATTTATTCTGTGACAAAAAGCATCAAAGTATACAGTTTGGGGTCTAATTTAAAATACGGGCATGGGTTTTTAAGAGCTGGAAAAGTTGGGTGTGAGTTCTAGCTCGACTACTTACTGGCCACTTGCCTCTTTGCAGCTCTCACTTTCCCAGCTGTAAAATCGGAGTCTTGGTATCTGCTCTAGCAGTTTCAAAGGGTGGTGGTAGGTGCTCATGACATAGCATTTAAAAATCCAGCTATTACTGGTGTCTCAGGAAGGAAGTCTGAGGAGGGAGTTTGGCTTGGGGAACTCAAAACACAGCAGGACTGAGGCTGGGAACATCATTCTTGAGAACGAGATCATTCTTGGTGAGAATTACTAGGGAAAAATCTTTTGACTTTGTGTGTCTGTGTGTGTGATTGGAGAATTTAAAATAACCCTCAAGACAGTGAGCATGAGTGTTCAGATCCTAGTAGACACCAAGTTACACCGTTCCTTCCTCCTCAGATGCAGTTTGAGCATTTTAATGTGACATTCTCAAAGCTGGTGGCATCTTGTTAGTAAAAGACCCTGGGTGTGAGGAGGGTATGGGTCTGAAACCTCTTCTTAACATTTGCATGTTGAAAACTTACATTAGACTGTTGATACAGGACAAGTGTTCTCACCTCACAGCGAGAAAACACTGACTGGCCGAGGCAGCTGTATATATAGAACTGACTAGGTGTTAAATCCTGGCTGGATCCCAGGCTCTGCTATACAGAATGGAGCTACCTGCTCAGGAGATTTACCCAAGTTCTGGTTTTAATTTGCAAGTGAAATAGGCCTTTTATTTTAAAAATATATATTTACTTTGGCTTTCTATCACCTGGTGTCTCAAAGAAGAAAACAAGGGGAGAGGTGCTGACCAGGCAGCCTCACGTACACCTAAATCTCAGAAGTCTTTTTTAAAGAAAGAAGGGAGGCCATCTGGGACATGGCTTTGTTTTCTGTGACTTCACTCCATCCCACAAGCATGATAAAGCCGGTGCCAGGCACGTCTCTCCTCTCCAGAAAGGTGTGTCAGGTGTAACTGGTAAAGAGGGGAAGCCATTGCCCGGTGGAGCAAAGCAGCATGGGACAGTCCCCGGCGGAAGCTCGAGCGGCACTCAGGCCCTCCTGTGAGCGTGCTGGCCACCCCCCGAGCCCACCCCCAACTACCGCCGTCCCATAATGAGATGGAGGGAATTGATGAGATCTAGTCACAGGTCCACAGAAAGGGTGGTTGGAAGAGTCGCAGATAAGTGTGTTTGGTGAGAATTGGATGAAATCCAAAGATTAGAATTACAGGAAGTGCCATTAGTCCAAAGCCCTGAACTGGCCCTCGGTGTGGTATTTCCACCTTCCGGCCTCGTGCCTGTCTTTGCCTTTCCCCTCAATAATGCGTGGCTAAATCATTTGATTTCTTATGTACTAGAGACATTGAAAATCCTACCACAAAAGTAGAAATATCTTTCATCCTTGGAATTTGATAGTATATTTATTAGAATAAGAGAGTAGATTTGTTAAACATCTGGATTAAAGTGGTAAAAGGATTTTCATACAGTTTTTAGGCACTATACACACTTGTTTACAATAGCATCAGTACTTGGGTTTCGGGAAAGATAAATCTCATACATTTTAATGCCTTGATCCATTTATAATATTCAAAGTAACTCCACCATTTTAGAAACACGAATCCAAACTCAGACATATCACTAAATATCTCAACATGGTATATTTAAAAATAAATATAGAAATACAACCAGAAGTCTACAAATCACCACAGCAGACAGACTGGTGAAGCTCCAGCTATCATGGCAGTGAAGGGCCCTGGCTAGATTTTGATGGAAATTGCTGAACTCTACACCAAAAGCAAAAATATAATAAAATATCATGATACACACTTTCTGATGCTCATTTTCATAGCAGCAAAGCATGCTTCACATGCACTGCCTGTGAAGGATCTCACAAGGCCCCTTCCTACTCCGACAGAAAGAAGGTGCGCTTGGCAAGAAGGAAGTACCACCAGGTGTCAAAGGATCCTGAAAATAGGGGGCGGCTAGCCAGTCACGGTGCAGGAGAGCAGTGCAGTTTTCAGTAAGAATGACTACCCACAGCCACCAGAGTTTCACTGTAACTCCACACTGCACATGTTTTGATCATCGACATACACAAAAATAGCCCCAAGCACAAAGCCAATCCACTCAGGGGAGTAACAATCGTGATGAGAATAAAGGCAATAATATTCAAATGACACGAAGAGAATTTTGGCACATGCTGTGTTCTTCCTCATCCTTTGTCATAGGTGAAGTGCACGTCTGAACAGAGACAGGCGTGGGAAAGGGGCCCGAGCGCAACACGGCATGCCCCGCGCGGGGACTCTTCCCGGTGCTTAGACGCCAGCTGCGTGGGTGGGCGTGCTGGGCTGGTTAAGGCCGATGGTGGAGCAGAGCCAACCTGCAAAATCCACTTCCTCAGCATCAGATCTCTTGATGAAAGCGTGAACCTGTGTGCGAGGAAATGGAGACAAAGCATGTTGAAGACCCAAGAAGGAAAATTCAGGAGTCCTGGGCCTAGAGGTTGTGCTGCCTTTGGAAGGAGCTCCCAGAGTTTGGCTGGGCCAGCTGCAGGCCTGAGACAGACCCCGCCGTGCCCGGCTCTGCTGGCCTCACCCTCCCCTGAGCCCGCTCTCCCGCGCTGGGGACAGTGGCCCTTCCCGCAGTGCCTCACAGGGTTGCTGAAGGAACAAAGAAACTGATGGACTTGAACATGCATGCTCCACTGACCAGGCTACATGGCATGTGAGTTCACACAGTTACTTCCCACTCCTCCCCCTGCACCAATTAGGAGACAGGGAGTTACTGGGGGAGGGGCTGAATATAAGATAAGCCAGTCAGTGCTGGAAAAAGGCCCTTCCTTTCCCTGGACTCCCTCCCTCTGCAGGGTCATCCCAGCTTTTCCTCTGAACTGATGGGAGGACAGGAGACACACTTGGTATCCTGCGGCCCCCAGGTCAGCTGGGCCACAGTGCTGGCAGAGCAGCATGGGCTCAGGAAGGACTGGATGGGTGACTGGCAGAGATGGAGAACAGATCAATAAGCAGGTGGCAGTGTAAGAATCAGAAATAAATGTACGTACCATGAGTTGCTTCAAATCTGCTCTCTCGGCGGGGTTTTTTATTAAGCTTAAAGGAAGAAAGATAACGTGAGAGCTACTGCCTGGCGCTGGGTCTAGCTCAGATTCCTGATATGTGCCTGCCCATCCGCCCCGCGCCCCACAGGCTCCAAGGAACAGTGCCTGCACCTTTCCTTCGTGTTCTTAGCACGGAGTCACGCCCGCCTTAAGTTAATAAACGCTTGCTGAATTAAACTAAGGCCAGGAGGCGGTATGCCAGCCCCTGGCCCCTGCCCAGCAGATGTGGCGCGCAGCCGCTGTCTGCCCCCCGCTGTGCTCAGGCCGCCTGGGTCCTTGCGCTCTGGGAGGAGGGCAGCAGCTAAGGGGTCCTCGGGGGGAAGGGAAAGCTGGCATGAGGAGCCTGATAAAACCAAAGTACCCTTCCAGAGACCAAGGAGGTGACTTACCATTTATTCACAAAATCTTGAAATTCCAGACTGAATACTCCACTGGGCAGTTTTGGTGGAGGCTGCAAATACATGTGAAGACATAACTGCCTGGCTTCCTGTCCTGCCCGTCTCTCCCCTCCTTACCTGGCCCTGGGCACTGCTGCCCTCATCCAGCCAAGGAAAGGCAGGGGTGAGAGGCCAAGGGCTGCTACCAGGTCACCCCATGGAAACCATCGGTCCCACAAACCAGTGAGAACTGCGGCCAAGTCAGTGTTCTGACCGCTCCCTTGTCTAGTGACTGAATAAATCACTGTCCCTCTCTGAGCCCGTTGACCCTTGTATGAAATGAAGGAGGTTGGGCTTAACGCTCTCTGGGACCACTCGTAGCTCTGAGGCTGTCCCACTGTGAACCTAGGAGTGTGGCAGGGAAACACAGCCAGCAGTTACAGCAGCAGCAGCCAGGGGACGTGCAAACCAGACACAGTCCAGCCCGGACGACCCCTGCGGAGGTCACAGACAGCTGGCGAAGTAAGAAAATGCTTACCCCATCCTGAGCGCTGAAGGTTAATGGAACATTAACTGGCAGAGGGCGGGGTCAGGAAGAATGTTCCCTGCACGCTCACTGCAGCAGTGAGGTGGTTTGCAGGCATCGGGCGAGAACACTGGCAGTGGCTCTCGTCTTTCCAGGCTGCACGGTGGAAGTCACAGGACCAGGCCCCGGGCCACCCTGCTCATGGGCCACACAGCCCCAGGAAATGTCCCCGACCCTTCATGTGACCTCTGCTGGGGCTGTGTGCAGCTTCCTTGTGAGCTGACTCCCAGACACTGCCCAGATGTCCCTGCTCTGATGTGTTAACACAAATTAACAGGTGACTGGAGGCAAAGTTAAACACTGACAGGACCCCGAGTGCCTTATCAGAACAGCAGATAAATCAGCCTGATCTGAGGTCAGGGACTAAAACCCAGCTCTTGGGGCCCACTGTGCAGACTCTGTCCCTGCTGCTGAGGGGGATGAAGGGAACACTGGAGGGACATGCCAGCAGCAGGCCAGCCAGCTTGACCTCCAGAGGCCAGGCCAGGCCGCCTGAGCCGGAGGGGGCCGGGGACGGGAGGGCTGTGCGCCAGCAGAGTGAGGTGCAAGCACCTGTCCTGCAGCCCAGCGTCCCGGGAGGTAGGGGATGGGGGCCTGGGTGGGTAGGCACTGGGAGGAGCTGGTGGGAAGGAGGAGCACTTTGTGGGAAGGGCCTGAGCTGCTTTTCAGCTTGGAGCCTCAGTTTCCCCTCAGTTTCCTATATGAAGGGGATGATGAGGGCAGGCTGGCCCACAGGAGCAGTGCTGGATCACTCCGCAGACAGTGAACGTGGAAATAGGGAAGGGAGCAGTGCACACCAGGGGCCAGGCAGCTATCCAACCTCAGCCGTCCCTTCCCTTACTTCATGTGGCTCCCTCCCAGCACCGCCCAGCTTAGGTCCCAGCAAGAGAGGACGGCTTTCCTGACTGACACTAATGCAACACTCCGCCTGCCCGGAGTCCTGAGGCAGCCTGGATCAGACCCTGGACTTCCTTTCCGTGTCCCACGGTGCTCAGTGCAGAGCTGTGCAGACAGTAACCTGAGCTGAGTTAAGCTCCCTAGTAGACTGTCAACCAGTGACCATGGCTTTTTAATTGCTGGGGTGAACCAGGGTTTCCCCTGTTGAGTTTATAGTGGACAAGGGGACCTTTTTGAGCCTTTGGGGGTATGGTTTTAGGGAGCAATGAAGTATGAAAAGTGATTCCACTTGACTTGTCTCTAGGAAGAAGAGAACAGGGTGATGCCCCTTACGATGCATCTCAGCCAAGGAGGGGCCGCCAGCTGCCTCCCAAACAGGCCAGAGCTTGCCCCTTCTCTTCCTCCACCCATGCTGCTCCTGCTGCCAGGGGTGCCAGCCCTGCCATCTGAAATCCCTCCTGACCTCCAGCGCCTCCAGCCCTGCCCCACCCTCCTCTGAGTTCATAGCTTCCCGCTCCCCTAAACTCACACTTGATGAATACTTGTCAGTGTCTTCCCTCCCTGATTAAATCACCTGTAATCCCACCGCTTCAAGATAACCACTGTACGTATTTCTTTCCAGACTTTAGATGCATATGGCTGCATGCACAGATTTTTTTTTTTAAAGAACTGACCAGAGCATACATACTGCTTTGTAACCTACTACTTTCAGGTAACAATTTACAGTGAATACTTCCCACGTCTGTTTCTACACTGCTACTGCGTATGTTCATCGCTTTACAGGGAGAAGACCGCGCACTGCAGTTGTATATGCATTTGCTTTGTCTCCCCCACAAAATCTTAAGTCTTCAAGACTGGAGACTTTTGTTTTTCCACTTTTGGATCCCCCACCTCGTTCCTACTGCCACCGGACAGTGCTCAGCACATAGTATGTGCGCAAGAATGCTTGGTGAATGGAGGAATGAGAATGTAAATGGACGGGGGGAGGTTCCTGGATCTGAGGGGAGGAGAGAGGGACTCAGAGCAACCTAAAGATGGTCCCGGGGAAAGGACTTCTGCAGCCGCTAAACCAGCCGCTCAGTTCCCAGAGCGTGATACACGAAGCAGGACACACAGATCCTGGAGCCCAAGCTGCCCATATTGTGGGAGCAACACAGGTTTCCCAGACAAATCAACTGTGAGTTTTTCCTTCAGGGGAGCAAGTAAATTCCAAGGTCAAAGAAGCTACGCAGTACCTTACCTCATTGACTATGTAATCCAACAACTCGAAGATTGCCATAGGAGGCCGGCTGTCCATTCCATAAGCTACAAATGTTATAAGAAGAAAAAAGAAAATGCTTCTCAGAAACACACAGGAGGTTATCGGCCAATATTAGGCTGGGGGTTGGGCATGGATCCCAGGGACCTGAACAGAATCGTGGACAATAAAGAGACAGAAGAGCCACAGATCAGGCCTGAAAACGGGACCAGCGAAAGCCACAGTCAGCTGGCCTGGGTATGAGGCCGGGCTCTGCCACAGCTGAGGTTTGTGACCGTGGGCAAATGTTTTTGCCTAGTTTTGAGTTTTGTAAAATAGGGATGGGTAAAAATTATGTTCGCCCTTCCTCCCTCATTAAAAGAGGAGCAAATGAGATAATAACTAAATAACTAGCAAGGACTTAGTTTTAATTCTCCCTGAACTTGGCCTCTTCGTTTTACACCCCAGAGTCACAGGCCCGCCTGGGGCCACAGCCACCAGCCCCTCCAATGACCCGCCATCGGCTGTCCGTGCCCCTGTTTGTCCTTTCATGTTCACCCCCTCCCATGGGGGCTAACGGAGGTAAAGACCAGATCACCCTGCTCGGACACGGACGTCCTGGCAGGATAACATTACATCAGAGGATGATGGGTAGGCCAGGCTCCTCCAAGTACCATGTTTACTTTACGGTTCAGAGAGGCAGGCGGACCTGCACGCACAGTGCTCACCACCTCAGAGTCAGACGAGGCTGCTTACCAGGCTATGTGGCAAGTCTAGCACTCTGTGCCTCAGTTTCCTCATATCCAAAATGGAGATTACAATAGTGCTCACACCCGACTGCTGTTAAAATTACATAATGCGAGGCAAATCCATGGAGACAGAAAGTAGATTGTTGGTTGCCAGGGGGTTGAGGGTGGGGGGAGCTGGGAGTGACTGCTAATGGAGATGGTTTTCTTTGGGAGCGGGTGATGGAAATGTTCTTGAATTACATAGGGGTGATGGTTGCACAACATGGAGCAATATACTAAAACCCACCGAATTGTACACTTTAAAATGTGCATTTTGTGTTATGTGAATTTTATCTCAATAAAAAGTCACGACTTATAAAAATCAGATAACATATATAAAGTGCCAAGCGCAGTGCCAGGAACATAGTCAACACTCAGCAAGGGGCAGATAGTTGTTGGTTAAACAGTAATTTCCTACACGTGGAGACCCCTGCGCTGCTTCCCGCTTTGTCCAAGCCTGGCATCCAGAGACAGGGAGTCAGCCCTCCAGAGACCTCTGACAGTCGAGGACCACCCACAGTCCACGCCGGGTCACACAGGCCACTTACAGCTGAGGGGCCTCCCAGGGGTCCGTGGCCTGGGTGGGGTCTCAGCCGCATCTCCCTCCACCTGGCATCCAAACATCAGCTCCAGCTCCTTGGCATCTGGAGGAGGGATGGGATACCTCCCGACCGCCATCTCAACCAGAGAGAGCCCCATGCTCCAGATGTCCGACTGCACCGAGTAATGAGTCCCTTGGAGCCTTTCTGGCTGCAGGAGAAACAGAGAGTTACCACCTGTGAGCCGGCCTGGGCCCACACAGAAGAGGGATAGGCAAGTCCTCGTGAATGCCTGCACTTCCCGCCCCTTTGAGGCGCTGCGAGAGAGTGGGCTGTCCTGCCTGGTCCCAGCCCTGCGTCTGCTGATGCATTTTATCTTCCTCTGCCTCTTCCTCTCAGGAGCTCACATCCTGTTCCAGGACCTCCACTAACCTCTTTTTGGCTTCCCACCTGTCCCTAAATATTGTTTACCCAATCCTAGCTGGCTCCTATGGCTCTGACCCCTCCTAACTGCTGTCTTCCCTGTAACCTGCCCTGAACTAGCAACATCCAACCCAGCCAGACCCTGGCTGCCACTTCAGCTGTGGCCCAGCTTTCCCCGGCCTGGTCATCACTGTCTTGCATGTGCAGGACAGCTTGTCCAAGCCCAGCTTGAGAGGCTCATCTTGTTACCTGAGTCCAAAACATGAAGCTTCTGGAACATGGGTCGTGAATGAGGTATGCAGTGGGTAGAAAGAACACTGGCCTTGAGAATGAGGAAAGCTGAGTTCTCAGACCAAGCTCTGCCACTGACTCACTGTTCCTGAACAACATGGAATGGCAGAAAAGGCAGAGGATCTGGGGTCAGGAGACTGAGGTTCAAGTCCCAAGCCTGGGACTTAAAAGCTACGTGATCCTGAGCCTCAGTTTCCTCATCTATAAAATGGGACTAATGATAGCTCCATAACAACATAACAAAATACCTGCTCTACTGACCAGGGTACTGAGAAGATCAAATCAAATGAGAATGTGAAACAGACGTTGCAAAATGCTGTACAAATAGGAGCTGTTATTGGTGGGAAGAGTCAAAGAGAAAAAAGTATACAGTGCTATACAAAGCGTTGTTTTTACTGAGCATTAACTGAAATAGCACATGTATTTCAAGAAGCCTATAAAAAAAAACTTTATTCTGACCGTCATACATTTATTTAGACATCAAATTAACTTCTCCTATAGGAGTTTTCACTAACTCCCAACACTGGACTATTTTGGAACTGACCATGTAACCACAAAAACCAAACCCACTAAACCCTGGATCAATAAGTCCCAGGGCCTGTTAACTGATTTTGAGCGTGACGGTTGGCAGTTGAGTAGCCCAGGGTACTAGCAACTCAGTTTTCAGACACTGAGGGAAGAAGCCAATGAGCCTGTGAGTTTCAGATCTCTTAAAGACTGCAGGTCACTGGAGGGGACGGGGTGGGGATGTGGGTCAGCACCGGGTCAGTCATGGTGCCAGTGGCTGAGTCACGGTGTAGAGAGGGACAGGCAAGAAGAAATGAGGATGTGAGCATAACTTGCCACACAGGGAGGCCGGGGCAGCTGTCTTACCTAAGAGGCAAGTGACAGCATGCAAAGGGGGACTGACTGGCAGGGACGGAACATGGCTTTCAACCCCAGCTCTGCAAGGTGAAGTGGGCAGGTCACTTCACCTCCCTGAGTCTAGATTTCCTCATCTCTAAAATGGGAACATTAATCTTTACTTCATGGACAACCATACAAATCAGGATGTGGAGGTGCTTGAAAGAGTGCACATGAAAACCTACAGGCTAAGTTGCCCTGGTCCCCTGTGTGGCCCCTCCGATCCGTTCCAGCTCTTCCTTCCCCCTCCAGGAGGACGGCCCACTCACCCTAACCAGGCCCCTCTGTCTGCCCCACATCAGCACTCACCCAGAGCTACGTTTCCTCTTTGTTAGCCATTTCATTCTGTCAACCAAACATTCGCCAGCTCACCAAGCATTCCCTGAGCACCTACCATGTGCCGGGCCCCAAGCCAGACCCTGGGGACAACAGAGACACCTATGGCCCCATCTCTGCCCCTAAGGGAACTCGCTGTATGGGGGCAGCAAGAGAACATGATGATGCTGCCATGGGCGTGCGGGCAGCTGCACACAGAGCTCTGGTGGCAGTGGGAGCCGGCCGAGCTGGAAGCAGAAGGAAAGGCCCCAGTGACTGGGGGGTCAGCCGGACTAGAGCAGAGACTCCAGCCAGGGGACCAGGCAGGGGTGCTGTGGTGAGAGATGGGCAGTCCTGGGAGATGTGCAGCGAGGAGCGGGAGAGAGGCTGCACTGGAGAGACAATTCTGAATAGGCTCACGGGAGCAGGGGGCCACCAGATGCTGAAAGGATGGGGAGCCGGGAAGGGAGGTTAAAGGCTGATGCTCAGGAGTCTGCCTTGGAAACTAAGGGAGCAGTGATGTCACTTGCTGCTAATGGAAAAGAAGAGGTCGTGCAATGTGAGGTGGGGGCATGTCCGGCCTTGTCAATTTGAAGGTCAGAAGACAATCAGGCTGAGGTCCTGGGGGTAGCTGGAGCTCAGTCTCCCCAGAATGCAAGCCAAGCTCTGGGAAACAGCCAAGCGCTGGAGGTAGCTAAGGCCAGGACCCTGCTGTCTGTGCCAGTGCCCCGACTATGCTCCAAGGCCTGTGAAAGGCCAAGACATCTCCCCATTAGACTGTGATTTCCTCAGGGAGGGACCACAATACCTCACCCCTCATTTCCTTCTCCTCCACCCCCACCACCCATCACCCAGCACAAGGCTCTGGCTCCACAGAGAAGGCACCCACTTGGCTCCTATATTCCTGATCAGACAAGAAGCTGGAACACGGTGTTCATACCGACATGTAGGACCTCGTGCCCACGAAGGAGTTGGCCATGGAGTCGATGAGCTGCCCGCTGACCCCAAAGTCACAGAGCTTGATCTCCCCACGGGAGTTCACTAGGATGTTGGAAGGTTTGACATCTGCAGGGACAAGAACACAGAAAAGTAGAGAATTGACACAGGCAGGTTCCAGAGGGAGGTTCAGCGCTCCCTGGACAGACCAGCCCTGACCACGAGTCCCACGACACACTCCCACCCCCATCGCAGAGCCAGCCCCTGGCTTACAAGCCCTTGCTCCCCCTTCATTCAAGGTTTGAGGAAGGATGGTCAGCAAAGGAATGACAGGCTGCTGTAGCAGCAAGACAGAAAGCCAGTGGATTCTACTCTTTGAGAATCCAGACTTGGCCAGATGACCCACAGGAAGGACTCAGCTACCAAGAATAATCAGATTTCACTCTGTTGCTTTGACCAACCCTGTTGGCAAGACATAATATCCATCGTTGGATCATAAGGAAGAAATAATAAGACCTGTATGCTTGTTGAGGCTACAGACCAAAGACTAAAGGGGATGGGATAGAGGCGGGAACTCCTATTCTGACGTCAGCACCAAGCACAGAGCATGGGTTTCATGAGTACGTGGCAGGGGTTGGGAGCTGGCTTTTGATTTTCTGTCACTGAAGTCACCTCCGTGAGAGCCTGCAGAGCTGCACCTAGTTGTCAGTCAAGGAGAGTCTCCTGCTGCCTGGGCCGGAGAACCAGGCAGGCCTGAGAGCTGCTCCCCAAGGTCAAGGCTGCGCCCCAGCACCAGCCCCATCCCCTTACCTGCACTCGGACCATCCCCACTTCCCACCCTGGCTCCCGACACCAGTGTGAGTTCAGTGACCCTTCCCTTTGCAGAGAGGTAAATCTCCATCTCTATTTTCCTACCCTCTCCTGATTCAAACAACTTCCCTGTGAAGTGGGCAGAGCAGAGCCAAGAATTCTCTTGGTAAAGGTCCCCAGGCCAGGGCTTTGTGGACAGACATCAGCAGACAATGAGTTCCACTCAAAAGGAGGCCAAACCCAGGAGCAAAATCATAAACCCTGACAGGGAATCTCTGATGGGAATAATACAGACACTACACAGGGTATCCGGAGAATCAGAGGAAGAAAAAATGGAATCCCCATAATTCCAACCTACCAGAGCCACTATTCACATTTTATTTTTTCCCCTTCATATTCATATGAGTACATTTATTTATTCTTAAACAGATTCTAACAGGTCTATTTAAGTATCTTTCCAAGGGAAAACTGAAAATAAAACCCCACCCTCTCATATCCCAGCAAGTCCTTCCCTGCCCACCTCTGCCGAGCCCGTCAGCATCCCCAGCCTGGGCCAGGCCAGAGCCACGGGCCCCAGCCACCTCTAGCCTCTCGCCACCCACCACAGGCTCCACCAGGCAGGGACACTGGCCGTCTGCCTCAGCCCTGGAACCTCAGAGCCAGGGCAGCACCTGGCCCACAGGAATGTCTGCGAATGAATGGATCTAAACTCACCGTGTACACACGCACGTCCTCAGAGCCACGGGTGCTGCCTCTCTAAGATCCAGCCCTCAACATGTCACAGGACACGACAGGACAGGATATGAGGCCTTTCCAAGCCCTTTGGCAACCACTCGTGTCTCCCTTATAGAGACTCTCAGAACACAGGCATCAGAAGTAGCCTTAGAAGGAATCTGGCTCCTCCCCTTCATGGTGGAGATGAAAAGTCGAAGGCCCAAAGGGGTCCAGGGACTTGACTGAGGTCACACAGCAAAAACTGGGTAAAGCTGGAACCAGAACTCAGGCCTTCTGATGCCCAGACCTGTCCTCTCCCCACTCACCCTGCTGCCCTCAACTCAACTGCTTCACTCATTCCCAAGTGTCCCCGAGCACCTGCTACATGGCAGCACCATGCAGGTACCAGGGAGATGACAGCCAGCAAACTCAAGTTCCCGTTCCGCAGAGCTGACACTTCAGTGCGAGGAGACGGACAAAATAAACCGACAAACCAACGTGCAGCATCATGTGGTCTCAAGTGCATGAAGGAAATAAAAACAACAAAACCGTGTAAGAACCCAGACAGTGAGGGGTGCCAATGAGACAGGGCGATGAGCAATGACCCACATGAACTCAGGGAGAAGCCGTCTGGCCTCTTGAAGAACTATTTCAAACACATGGGAGACGACAAACCTTGGGAGCTCAGGGGCTACCTTTTGTTTTGTTTCTTCCCGAGCCTGGCACTAGGACAGGCCTTGACAAACACTTCCCCAGGGAGCCCCTGGTCCTCACCTCCACAGCTCTGTGGCGCTTCTCCACCAGACAGAGCCTGACCCCGGTGGCCGGGTTCAGTATGTGGAGAGCGAGGCTGAGTGACAGGACAGAGCGGGAAGGGCTGGGCAGCACTCTCCCCACAGGAACAGCGGGGAGCACGGAGGCGCTCAGACACGACCCCCGCCCCCGACACGCTCCAGCCGCATCACAGCCTTTCATCCCCGTGACTGCACCATGAAGCCCTGAGCTCCTTACCCTCCAAATGTTCCCAGGCCCTGCTGGGAAGTGACCTGCTAGGCCTTGCCATACAGCAGAAGAGCGGCACTGCTTACAGAGACAAGAGACCTGCCAGATCCTGGCCCTGCCGCCTGCTCCACGTGCGGCCTCGCTTCTACAGTCTGTGGTCTGCAGTCTGCAAATCAGTAAAGTGGTGATAAAAACTGCAGCTCTCACAACCTCACCAAATGGAGACCAGGATCAATCTAACGTAACAAACTGTGGGCATTTAAATAGCATGCATGCACGTTACAGGAACACAAAGAAGGATTCTTTCATGGGTAGCCCTCCCAGATTGGCAAGTTCACAGCACCAGGCATCACCCCCTCCCCGCCCCCTGTCCCCAACAGAGCAGCCCTCCCCAGGGCCCGGGGACTCTCCCTGCTGCTCAGACACATCTCTCCAGGCCACAGCTGCCACTCAGGAGTGGCTGCACTGCCTCTGTGACTGTTCTGATTTCTACTCACATGGCAAGCCAGCCTCCTTTTTTTTGCGAACTTACATAACACCGCTTTCCTCCCTTCCTGGCAGTCAGCTCCAGCTTCCTCCACCCGCTCCAGGGAACAACACTGCCCGGTAGGCTACAGAGATCCATGGGGGAGGGCAGCAGAGGGAAACCCTCAGGGGGGTTCCTTGCTTGGACCACATCCATCCTGGAAGCCAAATGCATGCACACGGCTCCTCCTGGTGACCCTGATGGCCTTACAAGAAGTTGGAGACCTGGGCATGCTAAATCCCTCCACTCCAGAGTATGTGGCTGGAGCCGCCAGGCAGGGACATGTTCGTCCCTGGCAGCCCCAGCCAAGGGGGGCTCTTCTATGGGGGCAGAAATGAGGTACATGTCAGATAAGGCCAGAGATAGTGTTTCCTCCAATTGTCAGCATTCGCACTTGCTTCCCAGAATCGCTGCCCCTCCTTCCTCTGCTCCAATCCCCAGCATCTTCCTCCTCCACGCTATCCTGCACACTGACCAGCACTCCTCCAGTGGGACAACCCCTGTACAGAGCCTGCAGTGGCTCCCGTCTGCCTCAGAGTACCGTCCAGGCCCTATGGCCTGCCTTTCCAAGCCCTCCACTGCTCTGCTTACCTTTCCAACTTCTTGCCACGACACGTCTCCATGTTTACCTCCCCCGGGCCCGGGCTCACCTACCTCTCTAAGTGCTGGTTTTGTGCTGGTCCCTGCATCTAAAACATCGCCCTTTCCCTCTCACCTCTACATCAGGTGCCTGGTTCTTCTGAGTCCCCCTTCCAACGAGGAATACTGCCCTACTCTGGAGCCCTGAGAGGTTTAATCAGGCTTTCCGCCAGCATCTTCCCTCGCAGCTACCTCAACCACTGTTCACACCGCGGGCCCAGGCTCTCTCTACTTCCTGAGGCCTCCCCAGGCCTTGGGTTCTCTTTCTGACCCTCCACCATCAGAAGGAAGAGGCTGAGAGGAGCCCCAGCACGTGGTAGGCCATGCTGCATTCCAGAGGGAGCATCCACCCCCGCCCCAGGCTCCCAGGCTGACAAGCCTCCTACAGAAACCTACAAGATGCTAAGGTTTGATACCCAGATCCTGCCCAGACTCTGCAACAATGAAGATGGGTAAACCCTTCAAAAACGAACAAGGAGGTTTTACGAAAAGATTAGGTGGCAGGGAGTATTTTGTTCTCTGATATTTTCTGCCCCAGAAATAACCACTGTTTAAAGCCTCCTGATTTTCCCCCCATGAGCACATGATTTTAACTTGACTTCTAAACATTGTCTACCCCTCTAAACAAGGGGTTTGGATTAACACATCGATCGCCACAACACCCAAATCTGGGTGATAGTTGTTTCCTCGGAGCACCCGATCCACAGTGGGCAATCAACATGTTACAGAATTCAGTGGGGTCACCTGTTTATTCTATAAACATGTAGCCTGCACGAGCTATGAGTGAAAAGGACAAGTCCTTGTCCCTGTTCAGGCTGTCACCACCAGGGGAGACAGAGTCCAACAAGTAACAAGAAGCCAGCCAACCGAGGAAGACACCACCCCTCCTCTGGTTCACTGAGCACCTGCTATGCCAGGCCTTTTAAATACACTGCCTTCTCTAATCCTTACAACAATGGTGTGAGGTGAGCGTCCTAAACCCCTGCGTACAGATCAGAAACACTGAGGACCTGAGTTTGGGAGTTACCTGTCCAGGTTACAAAGTGAGCTACTGGCAGAGGCTAGGGTAGAACTCATAGATTCTCGATTGTTTATCCAGAGCCTGGCTAATCTGGGTCTAAAGAAGACAACAAATGGCAAACCATAAAGAGTTGTCCTGCAAAGTTTCAGAAAAAGCTATGAAGTTGTAGATGAAAGCGGTCAAAGGCACAAACCTCCAGGTCTGAGAGAAGTGAGTCCTGGGGATGTAATGCACAGCAGGCCCACTACTGGGAACAGACACTGCACTGTGTGTTTGCAAGCTGCTACCATAGTAAATCCTACAAGTTCTCCTCACAGGAAAGAAAACTATGTAAGGGGATGGGGGTTAACGGGACTCACTGCGGTGATCACGTCACAATATTCACGTGTATCAAGTGTGCATACTGTGCTGTGCACC